CACACACACATATATATAGGGAGAGGGAGAGAGAGAGAGCCATAGATATTTATATTTTAAGAGGGAATAATACGTATTAAATGGCATTTTTGTAGATTATATATATATATATATATATAGACAAGATCTTTCAACCATAGCTTGTGGACATATATATATATATATATATGTGTGTGTGTGTGTTAACCTATTATCTCTACACATGCATGGCATCTTATCTTTATCTTAAATTACTAAAATCAATATCGATTATTTTCTCTCCTTTGCAAATGGGTGAGGATAATTCGATCTCAGCTTGTGACCAATAGTGGCTTAGCTATTGATAAAACAAAAATATATATATATATACTAATTAATTATTAGATGGTCTGTATATTTATTTCTGTAAGCTTAATTTTGAATAATATTAATTAAATGATATACTAATTATAATAAAATATATATATGAAATAATAACTTTATTTAAATTTACAATTACACGTAGGTAAAGAGACTTACAAACTATTCAACTAAATAATAATTAAATTATATAAATTAGTGTTTAAAGAAAGATTGGATCTTAATGAATTGTAGGGTTGTTTTTTAAATGAAAGGAAGCAAGTTGGTAAAAAGTGGGGTCCAAGTTCACGGATTTAAAGAGAATAATAGAGGGGTTAAATGAACATGTGACACTCTTATTTTTATTTCTATTTGTTTTATCATTTTGGGCATGCAAAATTATGTACCTTCAACCGTAGGGGTTCACGAGCCCTCTTGCAAAGGACATCACCCTTCAAACATAATTCTTACGTCATTAATTATTTCTTTTTTTGTTTTGTTGGAAGAAATTTGTTTTATTAGATAAAAATTTTGAGAGTGAATATTAATTTGGTATGTAGTTAATACTTCAAACAAATAAATAAATAAAAGTGGCATTCAATAAATTTGTAAATATCAGTAAATTGCATGAACTCATATATTATCATTCAACAACTATTAAATTATAAGTGACTTACGTGAATGAAAAATATAATATATATATATGTGTAATACGTACTTTTTATACTTGTTAACAAGTGTCAATATCAGAATTTAACTTTTTGTATACATAAAGTTCATGACTACTGCTAATAATATACGTACAACATACAATAACAATAATAAATATTAAATTATTTATATCTTTTATATGAAACGCATATAATAAAATTTTTCTATTATATTATCTTAAATATTATGAATGATAAATATTATAGTAACTCTTTTTTTTATTTATAAAATAGAACATGATTGGCTACTTTAATCTTAAAAATCTTATAAGTAAATTTTTTTTTTCTAACATATTGCACTTTTGGCTAAAAGATTTTGCTTTTATTTAGCATTCTCAATAATAGAGGACATACAATTTTTTTTATTTAGAAGTGATGAATTTTTTATTGAAAATATTATTTTCATACATTTTTAGACCATAATTTTAACTATCTTTACATAGTATTAAAAGTAATATTATTGACAAACTATTTGGTTGTTGAATAATTAGTACAATTATTTTTTTAAAAGATATCATAAGTTTCAGTTTGATTATGCTTTCGTGTGTGTTTTTATTTAAAAATTGTTTTTATTTTATTATAATGTATAATTTAATGTATGAATATATGAATTTATTGGTAAAAAGAAACATTACTTAATTAAAGAAACTTAAATTTTTTTTCTGTCAACAAAAATAATAAGGCTACTAATTCAATTTTAATTATTTTTTTTAGGAAAAAAAAAAACACCTCTCAAATAATACACGTGGATTTCAGATATTAAATTCGAATAACGGAATTTACGAGAAGGCAAAACATCTTTGAGACGCAAATGGATGATAATGCCACGTGTACTTGGATAAACTTAAAAAAAAGCCGCGAGGATTATTCTGGATGATGTGGACGACTACATCCTTTTACCACGTCATCGCTAAAACAGAAGACGGGACCTTACCCGCTTCGACACGTGTCCCAAAAAGTAATATGGACCCCACTAACCCGCACCTCTTATGAAAAAGGGGAACAGGAAATCGTTGCAGCTGGATTTCTTTGCCGGCAGGCAAACATCCCCCCAGGAGCTAAAACGAATGAAGAAACGAATTTTATTTTTTTTAAAAAAATTAAATTATTGGGCCCTTGAGGAGGCAAACAACTGAATATTGTCTGCTGCAAGTTTTGATTAAATGACCAAATTACCCACGTCAGTTGTCTAATATTACCATTTCGTTTGGATTCTCCCCGTGCGGTATCAGCACTCTTGTCCTTTTTCTCACCATAAACTATTTATTTTCTTCATAAAATAAATCAGTTTTAAAGCACCATAAATTCCACCTTTTTCACTTGTAAACTCCTTAAAAAAAATTTGTTCCCAATAAATTAATAAATATAAAAATTTTTATAGTAAATCATCATCAAAAAGTACCCTTTCATGAATTGTACAGCACCAGGAAAAACAAAAAACCTGAGCCGTTGGATTTTGATTGAATAGAGATGATTGAATCAAAAGCCGTTGGATTGAGATACTGAGCTGGTCCTTCCCAATATAAGGAAACATAGTTGGAACTCCCCAAATGGCATGATTAACGGCCGCGATTGAACAGAGATGATCTTATTTTTTTACCCTTTCGGGATGATCGTCCTAGTGGTTGCTCACGTGCATGGTATCCATCGTAAGGAGCATCAGCATCATCCTCAATGCACATTGGGATCCAGCATCAGATCCCATGCTCAACCACAGCAGTTAAAAAATAAAACATGCATTGGATATTTCACTCGACTGCGCAACTTAGCAGAGTAAGGGTGTTTCGGTCTAAAATGCGCCCAGAGGTACAACGGACAACACCGTTGAGGTCTTTCCCAGACGGTAAGTGCACGATTTTCAAAAGAAAAAGAGCAGATAAAAGTTTTCTGACCGAATAAAAATTATTTGTTTTATTATAAATTGGAATAAAATATTTAAAACATTTTACACGTAAATCGTGCGCAGGAGGGAAAAAAAAGAGGAGGAGAAAAGATGGGTGACGCTACTCTCGACGGACGTTTATGACGCGGAGGAGGTGAGAAGGGATTGGCCCCTTGGTTAACGCCGTTAACTTCGCCCATGAATTGCGTTATAGTTATGGAGAAGTTTTGTCATCCCAATGGAAATGAGCATTTTTCTGCCCTGTTGAATCTGATTTTCTCAACTATAGAAAAAAAAATTATATATATATATATAAAGTGGGTGGGGCCCAGATGAACAAACGGCTAATGTATGTGGTTGCTAGATGAACCGACCACCCCGTGTCAAGACACTTCCGTATTTTTTTAAATATATTTTCTAAATTAAAAATAATTAATAAAAGTTTTTTGGTAGACAAAATTAATTAAAGTTAAAACGAAGAGTATATTTATTTATAAAATATAATAATTCATTTAATCTATAGTTAATAATAAAATAAATAATTATTTATAATCCTTTCATATTTTCTCAATTTTTTTTTTTAATTCATTCAATATTGACAATGCAGGTTTATTCATTAGTACTTTAATCTTGGCTGGTGCTTAGAAATTAAAAGGATTTTTTAAACGTGCAGGATTAAATAAAATCAATTAACAGAAGATGCAGAGAATTAAATTAGAATGGTGGACTTTGTGATAATCACTTAAAACGGAAACTTAATTAATATTGCGTGTGATATCTAAAAGAAACAAATCTCTTTATAATCATAATTTCCTTTTTTTTTTATTTTCTATTAAAACCATTTAATTAGCTTAATTTTTATAAAAATAAATAAATATTTGAGTCACTCGTAATTTGTGCTGTAAATTTAGTAGTAAAAAAAAAATAGTTTTTTAAAATTATAAATTATTAAAAACATATATATATATATTTTTATAATAAAAAAAGCTCAGATATAAGAAAAGAAAATCTGAGTGGATTGTAGTTAAGAAAATCAGGTGAAGCGTAAGTAATTAATTAGGAGCGTGGGATGGAGACGCGTGCAGTCGCCGATTTCACGCAATTCCATTAATGCCACGTGTCACATCCGTGTCAACTACCTAGGCGCCGAATTATATACACTGGCCCCACGCGATTCTCATGTGATGTGGCGAGCGTTTTCGCTTTTATTTTCATGCCCTCTTTTTCCTCCCACCAATTTTACGAAAATGCCACTCTAGAACCCCCCCCCTTTTTTTTTTTCTTTTTTTTTTTTTTAAAAAAAGAATTGTAAAGACTATGTTGATAATTACTTTTATATTTAATTTGAATAAAAATTGTCCACTCTGGCTGTTAGCGTTACGGGGCGGTTACCTGATTAAGAATGCACCCACCACTCTTTCCCTTTCTGCTCTTTAAATTTTATTTTTTTGTAAAATAAAAAAAATGAATAAAGGAGGACCTCTTTTGTTTTTTTTTTTTGGGGGGGTATTTAAAAAATAGTTGATAATAATTGTTTGTTTTGGCCTCTAAATGATTCTTATAATCCCCCACCCACTGTTGCTTTATTTCTATTTATTTATTGTTTATCCTTCTTTCAAGACTCGAAAGTTTGATTTTTTAAGTTTATGGTGGTCCTTCTTTTTTTTTTTTCAATTTCAAATACTTCAATTACGGATAAAGTGTTAACCCAATTCTTTAAAGCAACCCAAGTCCACAATATGAAAATTATGCCAGCTGAGGACAAGAGTTGAAGAGAGACAATGGCTGTAACACTATAAGACTGTACAGCACATATGTTGGCAATGACTTTTTCAGTTTTTCATTCAGACAAACAAAAATAACTTTTCAATTTTACCATTACTAAGACGTTAAAATTTTGAACATAATTTAATAAAAAGGAAAGATTTTTCAAGTTTTCTTTGTTTCTTCAACTTCTCTCCAAGCAGAAAATACTAAAAAGTTTCCCCCTTTCTTCATCAGTCACAGAAAAAGAAAAATAGTTTATTATATTTAATAAATAAAAACAATTTCTTTTTGAAAAATGTCTACATATGAACCGCTCAATCCCTCTCTCTCTCTCCAATAAAATCACACCTCTTACTGTCTTTCTTCTCATTAGCTCTTTCGGCTCTCTCTATCGCTTAATAGCTGTACAGACATTCTCTCTCCTTCCTTCCTTCCTCCATATGTATACACATACAGCGAGAGAGAGATAGAGAGAGAGAGGGGTGTATTCACAAACAGACGCGGAGAAATTTATAAACACCATTATTTGTTTTTTTTTAAACAAGAACTTGAGAATCAAAAAGAAAAAAAGAGTACTAAGTGAAAAGAAGAAAGAAACAGAGAACAGAGAAGAAATGGGGCTCTTGTATTTCTTGCTTCTGTCTTTGCTTGCTGTTATGGCTTCTGGGTCTCATGGAAACCTCCCAATTTTTTCATTCGACGAAGGATATACCCAGTTGTTTGGTGATGATAACATGGTTATCTTCAAAGATGGAAAATCTGTTCATTTGTCTCTAGATGAGAGGACAGGTCTGTGCTTTCTGCTTGTTTCTTTAAATGGTTTGTGCCCTTTGTCTTCTTTTTCTTCAATTTTTTTGTTGGGTGTTTATTGCAGGTTCTGGATTTGTGTCCAATGATCTCTATTTCCATGGCTTCTTCAGTGCTTCCATTAAGTTGCCTGCAGATTATACTGCTGGAGTTGTTGTTGCGTTTTATGTGAGTAATCCATTGATGAAACTCGATTAAAAAAATATATTTTCCCCATTTTTTAAATGATTATTTTACAAGTTTAATCGCTTTAGTACATCAAGTTTTTGACTTGAATCTAAAAATACGAACTCCGGCTTAGTTTTTTCCTCTGTTTTTAATATTTCCTCAAGTACGCTGATAGAGTTTCAACAGTGAAGTCAAACTGATCAACCTAAGACGGAAGGGTTCATCATATATTGTTCTTCCTTTTTTTATACAATAGTTAGACCTTGTATTTTAAAATATATTGAACCTCTTTTGGACGTCTTCTTTTTCAATCTCAATCTCTAATCTTTCCATAAAATTTTGAGGAGATGTTTATTCATCTGTTAATTTCTTCGCATAAAATGTTGTTTATCGATTTTTGAGTTTCCAAAGCGGATCAAATCGATGACACCCAGATCAGGATTCATGCAAAGGCAATCACTTTCAATGAGAGAACATTCAGCCCCAGAAAAAGTCTAAAGTCTTTAATCATGGTTTACCTTGTGGGTACAGATGTCAAATGGTGATATGTTCAAGAGGAACCATGATGAGATTGATTTTGAGTTCTTGGGTAACATCAGAGGCAGAGACTGGAGGATTCAGACCAACGTTTATGGCAATGGAAGCACAAGCATAGGCAGAGAAGAAAGATACAATCTCTGGTTCGATCCTTCTGATGATTTCCATCAATACAGTATTCTCTGGACTGATTCTCAGATAATGTAAGCGTAATCTATTTCAACATCTTTGATTAAAAGCTCCCTTTTTTCTGTGTTTGAAGATATGCTTTAAAATTTTTTCTTCTTGTTCATATTCTCATGTGATGTACAGAAGGTTGTAACTTCGCTGTTTATGGAGTTTTGGTAGCAATAAGGTGGGATAGGGGAGATTTGGTGTTTTGGAAAGACTGATATGCATGATATACTGTTTTGCTTCCATGAATTGGTTCCCCTGTTTTATTAAAACTGGTTTTTCTTAAATTAGGATTATTAAATATAGTTACTGTTCTGTTTTTATCGGCAAAAACAAGGATAAAAAACAAGAGCAAATGATTCTTCCACTGTAATCTTTCTAACATAAAAGATTCTTAGAAATAATTCATATTTATGTAACTGGGTTTCACCAGAATCATCTTATTGTAATTGGGTTTTTAACAGAATCATTTGCTGTGTAGTTTTTGGACTGTAGGGAAGCAAATTGGAAATAACAAAAATCTCTTTTGTTATTTTCAAAATTCAATTGTTTTGCCTATATTAAGTTGATGTCAAACCATTTACTTTTTCCCATTTTAAATTGAAGTATTCTAGTATAAGCTGTAAAATCTATCTGTTCAAGCTTTTGGCAGTCCGATCTTGATTATTTTTGTGCAGATTCTATGTAGACAATGTTCCAATTAGAGAGGTTAAGAGGACAGAATCTATGGGGGGTGACTTCCCATCAAAGCCAATGTCCTTATATGCAACAATATGGGATGGGTCTGATTGGGCTACCAATGGTGGAAAATACCGAGTGAATTACAAATATGCCCCTTACATTGCTCACTTTTCCGATTTCATCCTCCATGGCTGTGCTGTTGATCCTATTGAACTCTCTCCCAGTTGTGACAACACTGCCAATTTGGAAACTGAAATCACAACCCTTCAGAGAAACCAAATGGAGAGTTTCAGGAGGAAGCACATGACATATTCCTACTGCTACGACCAAATCAGATACAAGATTCCTCCTTCCGAGTGTGTTGTCAATCCAGCAGAAGCTAAACGGCTGAAGGTGTACGATCCAGTCACCTTTGGAGGAAGCCGGAGACACCATGGGAAACATAGGCGTCGCCACAGTCGATCAGCTGAGTCAGAAGATGAATCCATATGATGATTTGGGTAAAACATATATATGATATTGATATGAATGGTGGAATGGTGAGATTTTTGGTTGGTTTTGTATAGTGATGAAGAAGAAAAGAAAATTGATTTTGAGGGGGGGGGGGGGGGGTATGTGTATAGTTGATTGATGTCGTTTGTCATTTGGGTTATTACAAAATTGAATTTTATGATCTTCTGTACTTTTTGGCACACCCTCATAATATGTTCATGTGGTTCAATAAATAAATATTGTATGCTTACATTTTTTGTTTAATTTGAAATTTGTAATAGTAAATGCATGGGGGACCCTTTTGTGAGAGAAGTGAGGAAAGGTCAAGGAGCTGTTGGACTTTTAACTGTAAATCTCCCATTGTTGGCTTCACCCATAAATGAAATCAGCCAGACAATGGACCTTCAACTTCAACCATTAATTATACTGATCTTAACTCTTTTTTTCTTTCACATTAATTCTCTGAATTTTAACCTTATTATTATTATTGTTGTTGTTATTTTAACAAAAATTATATATTTAAAAAATATTATTATTAACTTTTGATGACAATTTATTTAGTCAAGGGTCAAATTTTACGACAGGAATTAGCTTCAATTCAATTGACTTTTTTACATATCTGTCCAAATCTCGCCGCTAATCAAGGCACCCTTTTTTTTTTTTTTCTTTTTTCTTTTTAATCATATTTTTTTTCTCTTTTGCTTGTTCTTTTATATCTCAGAAGAGAAGAAGAAAATCATGTAATGAATGGTGCAGATGCATAATCATGTTGATAGGATACGGGCAGTGAAATCCTTGCGAGAAATGTGTAGGCATGAAGAATATGGTGAAGGTGATGGGCCAGAGTCTGCAATTCTTCAAGAATTTTGAACTCTTTTTTTTTTTTTTTTTTTTTAAAGGACCTTTCAACATATTCACATCTTAATAAAATCTTCTCATCACTTGACATTTGCTTGTAATAAATAAACCAAATTCATAGAATTTGTGCCTCAAAATGTTTGTGTAAAACAAATAAAATATGTTTTTTAGAAAAAGAAACAAATATTTGAGCAATACATTATCTCTATACTCTGAAGAAAAGGGTTTGAATTCGTGACTCCAAAAGTGTCCTCAAGGTTTTTCTTAAAGGAGATATCTTTTTGGTGCTTTGTTGAACCCTTGATCCTTCACTTGAGTTATGGTGATGTGTTTTCTCTAAGAGCAGTAACCATGCTCAAATTGAGAGTTCCGTAGTAAGTGCTTCAATGCTCAAAGAGAGTAATTATGCTTGTAGCATCTACCCCTTTCAAAGACAAGAACAACGATGACTTTCGTTGAAGAATATGTAGATAAGCACGAAGCTTTCATTTTTTTTAAAAAAAAAAAAAAAAAATTATAGTGCTAATATTATTTATTTGTTTATATAACTATTTGTTGGGCTTGTTGAGTTGTGCTGCGTCTTGTGTTTGTGTGGCTACCCACAATAAGATAAGAACCTTCAAGTATTTTGAGCTCTTCATTTCAACATCAGAAGCCAGTTGACAGCCATCCTTAAATGGGAAAACAGGAACTTGCAATCCTCATACTCAATTGTTTTAGACCACATGAATCAGCTGTTATCCACAACAATCATGTGTATGGAAATGAAGCTTCTTCCCTAATCTTCCCAATCTTTCACTTGGTTGACATGGATCCTTCCAACTTCCTAATGGAATTTGACCTCATTACTAAGTCCATGAATTGAGCTATGTTTGGAAGAATTCTCCACCCTAAAGAAAAAGAATAAGTAAAACCCTCTTCCAATTGATTAGTTCCAAACATAATATCAGCCTTGAAATATGTGGCTACTCAACATCTGCACTGGTTTCATCAAGGACAAGTTGTAAATTTTTTCCCATACAATCAACAAGTAATAAAAAAATATCATGAGCTCCCTAGCTTTCCTCATGTAATCTTTCCAGGAACCCACCAGGAGAAGATATGCAGTTCTAAACCTAATAACCCAGGAAAGTGCTTGACAAAGGGTACACATTTCACAAAGGTATGGATAACTTAACTGAGGGAGAGCAGGCTCCTGCATATAAAGGATGTAATATAACTAGCCCTAGGGTCTACGCTTTCGGGTTTTCTTCTATTTCAGCTTATATTGCAACAAATATAGTGTCAATGACAAGTTATGGCTAATTCTGAGACTCAGCTTCCTTTCTCTCTATCAGTTTGATGAAATTGTGGACAATTGTCTTGCCTTCAGTAGTTATAATGCTCTCCGGATGAAATTGGACCCCCTGCAATATTGAACCAATTTGGAAACAAAGTTAACAGTAAGTCCAGTTGTACTTCTACAGAGGTCCAAAGAAAAATTGTGGACTAAAATCAACATAGATTTATGGAAATAACAAAGCAAAAAGACAATCATGAGCATCAACTGACCAAGCAATAACAAGATATCATGTGGCAAACATTGTGAGAGAATATCCTCACCATTTGTATTTTTCAAACTTCAAAGCCCCCCTCTCCCCTTCCTCAATTTAAAACTTACTGAACATGAGAATTACTAACAAATGTCCCACCCCCAACCTCGTCTACAAAATATTAAAAAATGTTCTAATGCCAGAGGCATATCAACCAGAACTTCATACAGAAATATTTTCCTTCTCCATCACATTTCAAAAATATATAAGATGGAGTTAAGATGGTCCGGATCTTTTCCTCACTAGCATTTATTGAGACTGCTTACAGAGAAGAAACCTTCTGCCTATGTGTGTTTGTACTTCTTTAGTTTTTAATGGGATTAGTAATTTTTCCGAGATCAAATGTATAAGTGAATCCCATCTTCGTTTTTTAATGTTAATAATTGTAGTGCTGGTCTAGAGAACACTTCTGACATTCAAATTCTGAACTCTCAGAATAATGTAAATGAGGATATATCCATCATCTTACCAGCAAGTGCTTATGTCTTTTGTGACGTGCAGCCATTATTAGTCCATCCTCAGTCCATGCTGTAACCTCAAGTTCTTCATCAGGAAAAGTATCTTTTTCAATTACAAGGCTGTGATATCTACCAGCGAGGAAAGGGCTGAAAAGGATAGAATGATTATACACGCCATTCACTTGTGATGGTTCAAAATAAGTCAATTTGTGGAACTAAAGAAAAAGTTGAGACAAATTACACTCAACAACATAAACATAAATGCTAATCATTCCAATTTTAATTTAAAAAAACAATCAGTATAAGGCAAAATGTTTTCCAAAGGAAGTTCAGTCACAAGATTAGATATTCTAATATAAAAAATATTTGAAAAAATTCACAATGCGTACCCATCAACATTAATGTAAACTAAGAGCGGACCCAGTCAAGGAATCCAGCATCTCATCAATTCAAAACATCACACAAGCACTAATAAAATTCGATGCATATATTTCTTTAAAACTAGCTATTCCAATATTTAAATGATTTTGCTTCTCCACATCAAGGGAAACTAAACTTCAAGCATGTCAAATAATCTACTAAAATTTTCAAAAGATGTCTAATTAACTAAAACTTGTTGGAGAAAAGGCACCAATAAGTGAAACTTTAAACAAGGATTTCTCTTAAGCTTGAATGTCAATCTTTCTTCCAGAAAGAGTGTGAGATCATGGAACATGGATGACATGCTAGAAATTTGTAAAAGAGAAGTAAGCCTACTTTGATAACCCAGAGAACAAGCTATCTTCCCCCTTCTCATCATAATAGACAAGAGAACTTTTTCCATGCACGACACCATACGGAGAACGTACAATCTTTCCTGCAAAAGTACAATGCCACGATGTTGTCTTGAAATAAAAAAACAAAGTAAATATTGTGTACAATATACAAGAGGAACTTTTTTCCATGCATGACATCGAAAGGAGATCTCACAAGATTTCCAGCAACAGCAAAAAAAGCCACAATGCTGTCCTGAAACCTATAGGCAAGTACATACTTTGCACTTGTAAGGAAATTCAGAACATCAAAGATGGAGGGACCATGATAAACGAATCAACATTATGATGGAATCCAACAACATAATAATGTTTAAAGAACTGAAATGTATTGTATGACTGACCTCCAAAAGCCTCTCCAATGCACTGTAAACCCATACACACACCAAATAAAGGAACAATAGGTCCAAGTTCCAAAACAGTCTGCAACGATATTCCAGAATCTTGGGGTGTGCCTAGACAGAGAATTTATGTAATAATAATCTTAACATGGTATTTTTTGAAGACCTCAATTTTGCAAGACAAGAATAACACACAAGTAGGATATCCATGAAGATTCTCACCTGGCCCTGGTGAAATAAGCACTCCTCTTGGATTTTTCCTACAAAAAATTGCAAGAAAAGCTTATGAAATTCCTTAATTCAAATTATCATCACAATCACTATAAGAAATCCATTAGCCAAAAACTTTTTACTAGTACAATAAATTTTCTTACCTTTTCAACTCCTCCACAGTTAGTTCATCATTCCGATAAACCTTAAAGTGACATCCCAGTTCTCCCATGTACTACAGTATCATTATTGCAGAATAAGGTAAAATGAAGAAATTTCTCATACTTTTTCCTTTTCACAATGTGAGAGATAAAGTGGGAGACATATAGCAAATATAGGTAAGAGATAAAAAATTATTGAAGAGGTTAAGCAAATTGCAAACATCCCCAGCCCAGAAGAGGGAAAATTGCAGGATAAAAGGGAAAGAATCATACTCCATAAATTCATTGATTTTTCACTAAATAGATGAGGAGGGAAAGAAGTGTTAACTTTTCTTCATTTGATTTGGAGAAAATGATTTCCCATATGAATTTTCTTTTAAACATTTTCTGACTAAAAATATTTTCCATTGATTGGCATGTATTCAACATCAAACTTTTTAAAATGATTATACAAATATCTTTGCGTAAACACATATAACAACAAGTACAATGATATATTAGATTTGCTAAAAATACTTTAAATTTTAAAAACATGAGTGCAACCTGAGATAAATCCTTAACAACTAAAAGAATAAATTATTTCCTTCAATAAGCTAAAAAAAATAAATATCCAGATTATAAATGATTGCAAAATTACAAGGTAGTTAGGCATGTACACAAAGTAATTAGGCATGTACACAAAGTAATTAATTAGAGAAATCTCAATCAAACATAAAGCAGAGAAAGAAACTTTTGGGCTTTAGAAGAGAAACTGAGAATTGAAAAATATATGAAACAAGAAAATGTGAGAAGGCTTTCCTCTTTTTCTTGTTTTCATTTTCCTTTCACTAGAAAAGATTTTTCAGATACTTTTAGTATTTCCAAACAAACCCAGGAAAATGGAGAAGATGACTTTTAAAAAGTTATCCCCGCAAAGCAAAAGGAGCATGAGTCAATGAATCTTAAGAAGCAAATTCCATCAGATATTGTTAGAGAGACTTGGTTGTTCTCGCTACCAAACTTGATTATCTCACATTCTGACTGCATAGAAGATTCCAAACAAACAAAACAGAATTTTTGAAGAAGCAGTACCTCAAGCTATTGGCATGGGAAATGTCATATCTACAAGGTATATTCTCTCTAAATTAAGGATTGGTCGCTTTCAGCTAACAATATGTGAAACTCTTCAACAGCTCAGCCCAAAGACTTCCACTTTTTGTAATAAAGCTTACAGCCATAATGGTAAATATTGTATTTGAAATTCCTTCCCCACCCATAATGGTAAATTTTGTAAACTGGGAAATCTTAAAAATAGCCAATGTTATTATTTATGTATCCCTTCCATATGGTGCCATTTCAATTTCAAGAAAACGGATTGGCCAACCTTCTAAACTTCATATGGTGATTTTGGAGCTAAAACAACAAAAAAGGAGTTTGATACGATGCCCCACTTTAGATGCCCTTGAGCCTTGTGTCACTTTGATATGAACCCCCACCTCAGAGGCCCTTAAACATATGTATCACTGTGAGAAGTCTGATAATTTCTATGGAAGATTCGTTATGAGTGGAAAGCACTCAAAAAAGTTTTTGAATATAACTCCGGAGGCTGCACAGAGCTAGATCCTAATTTTGACCATAGACAACCTAAGAAAAAGGAAAAGATTTCGGTCAACCAGTGCAACCTTAGCAAAGTGGACATCAAATCTCTCACCCTCCTACTTTCTCATATACTTTTCGAATAAAGGACATATAGAGATTAGTCCACCTCGCACTAAGCAGTCTTAGGTAGCCACTGCCTCAGTTGGCATGGATATTAGGCATTGGCGAGACCTGCCCCAGAAAATACAAAGCATTGCAATTATTTTAGAGACCAAAGGTATAAATAAAAGAGAGAGGACTCACCCAAACACCCCCCCCCCCCCTCTAAAGAAGCATTCACACTAAAAAAGGAATTATAGTCCAGAACATCAGAGCCCTTGTGGGTGTCCTCTCTAAATGTTGTATTAGTGTATCCTGTGATCTGAAGGTTGAACAGTTGACCATCTATTTCTAGATCCAAAAAAATATGAAGTAGGACTTTTTGTTAAGCATACTTTTGGGTGTATAGTGCTGCTCCGCATCAATCATATCTAAGGTGTAATATCCCATTATCTGCACTAATTGTAACTTCATTAAAGAAACATAGAGTGATTGTCCATAGATCATTTTCGTATTGACATTTTGTAGTTACAAACTCATAAATAACTTCAAAATGCTAATCTATAACTGACATATTTGTAGTTTCAATATGAATGCCCAAACTTGAAGAAATAATGAGGTTAGCATATACTTAAAAATAAGAAAAGCTTAGCTCATTAGCTAAGCACCCTTAGTGGTGGATTGAATTCTCCAACCTTGTCCTAGTCCCCTCTCAGAAAAAAATCTCATTGTATCCACAAGCTTTATTATTCTGAAAAGCAAAGTGATAATCTCTTACCCCTTGAACTAGACACCGAAACATACAATACTACACAGGTCCCTTTATCGTCCTAACAGCAATTGACTCATACAAAGTTTAGTTATGTTAAATTGCTGCAAATCGGAGGGAAGAAGGCGTTAGAAATCCAACGTTACAGGTTCTTGCAATACCAAAAACTTAGCTAAAAGGGGAAAATTTTGAATTTAATTGATCAGATGCAAGCATTTCCCTTAACTGATTCCAGCTTCTGGGTACCCCTGTCATGGCAATCAAATGGAACCTTACGTTTTAACTAAAACTTTCCAATCTCCAAATGAAAGAAGGCATATAGATACACATGGCGAATAGGACAAGTTCCCGAATTGATTATGATGGGAGGAATGCAAAAGCATGTTCAAGTAACATCGAGAGAGAGAGAGAGAGAAGACCCCAGCAACAGCATGTATACATGAAGATGAAACAGTAAAGAAATGTGAAATTTTTGGTAGTGACCTGACAAAGATTATATGTGAAGCTATCATAATTATCGATGACGACGATCGGATTTTCGGTCTTTTTTTTGTCGGAAACCGAAAACCTCGAGATTGACTCCGCCATTGACATTGACACCTTTGCAACCACGCCATTACCCCTTTTAGCCAGATGACCGTATCCTGCAAAATAATAATAAAACCCGAAAAAAGGCAACAATTCTATGTTAATTGCTAAACAGATTAGATTCAAATTATGCAAAGAAAAAAAAAGGCAGACAAATTGATCATGCAGAGCGAAAGAGGGAAGTACTTGAGGGTGTATAGAAGATAGAGACGCAAGTGAGAGTAGGGTTTTGCGGGGTTCTAGAAGAGAGTGAGAGTTTTTGGGGAAGGAGACAAGACAGAGATGTTATTGCGGCCATTTTGGAGCAGGAAGAGAGAGAGACTGTAAAGATAGAGGATTTAGATGATGAACTAAATTACTTGTTTGCAGATACCGCTTCTGGCAATTAGACACGTTTTTTTAAAGACGTTTCGGTATTTTTTTTTTTTTTTAAATATATTTCTAAAATATGTTACGAACGTTGTAGTTATTACTCAATCAACTATGACTTGTATTAGATAAAAATAAATAAATTAAGTAATTTAGTTTATATTTTATGTTTTATTTTTGTTTATTTTCTTTAATTTGGTCCATATTTTATTTTATTTATCCTTATTGTCAAATTTTTATTTTTTTCTGGTCTAAAACATAAATAATTTTGACAAAAAAAAAGTAGAATTTGAATTTGCTTGGGTTTTAATTTGTTATTATGGTAATTATTAATTTTATTGTTAGTTTTATTTATCATTATTATTTATCGTGGTGTTGTTATCATTTGTGGATTAAATTAAATTATATTATTTTTAAGTGTTTTAATATATAAGTATTAAAGAATCGTAAACTTAAAGTATGATGCAAGTGTTCTATGAATTATTTGAATATGATCTCATTACTATTTCAACATTTATAATAAATAATTTGTTTGATAAAATTTTAGTTTTTTTTTATTATTACAGAGAAATCTCATATTGAGTCCAAATAAGTCTAAAGAAGCAAATATGCAATAGATAGAAAAAAAAAAGCAAATATGAAAGAGGGAGGAAAGAAAAGAAGATATAGAGTAGAAAGAAAATAGTGATATTAGTCTTCTCATGATAGTTAGTATTTTTTTTTTAGAATGATAAATTTGTAGCCAAAAAACTAAAGACTAAATAAAAAAAAAAGACTTTAAAACCGTAAACTAATGTGATAATTTGTCCATTGTTAATTATTTTAATTGAAAAAAATTAAAAACTTAAAAATAAAAAAAAATACAAAACAAACAAATAAAGTCCTTTATGAACTCCCTTTTCCTTTTTATGGCTCCATCTTCGAACTATCTTTCCGTGTAGCTCTCATAGCTCATACTTCCCAATCACAATGTTGGCTCCAATTATGTAAAATCTTTAACTATAATTAAATTATTCTGTTAGCTCCAAACATAAAGAGAAAGTTCTTAGCATTTTTTTTAGATATAGATTCTCAAACTATGCGACACTTTTCTAAAAGAATAACGTAAATATATGAATGAAAAATTAAAAAAAAGGGATATCAATAATAGTAATAGAAGAACAGAAGGGTTTGTAACAAAGTAATTTCTCTCCTTATCTTCAAAGTGGAACATAAAAGATATATAGAAAATAACCAATTTACCATTACTAATGATCAATGTTTGTTACTACAAAGTACTAAGCATAAATTATTTTGGAAAATGAGGGCTTGAAATTGTAACATAACCTCATAACCTTATCAGAGTTATCATGCATTGTATCTCCTCTTACTTCATGTAATTACTGTGGAATGGTTGTCTCACCTATGAATTTCAGCCTTCTAGAGGCATTCGCCAAGGGGATCCGCTTTTACCCTATATTTTTGTGCTATGCATAGAAAGACTATCTCATTGCATAAATAGCTTGGTTAAAAATACTGAGTGGAAGTCGATCTGCATTGGCAAGAAGGGCACTGCCATTTCACACTTCTTTTTTGCGGATGACTTTGTAATCCTTGGAAAAGCCACTAATGACCAAGTTCGAGTTATTAAAAGGGCTTTGGATGATTTCTATGTTAGTTTAGGTTACAAAGTGAGTTCGAATAAGATACTTATCTTCTTCTCTCACAATGTTTAAAAATGTGAGGCTAGTCGTATTAGCAAGAATTTTAGTTTTCAAGTCTCTAATAATCTTGGTAAATACTTGGGAGTTTTTTTATTACATGATAGGGTCAACAAAGATACTTATCACTATATATTTGAGAAAATTAACCAGAAGTTGTCTGGCTGGAATGCTAACCTCCTTTCTTTTGCATGGAGTTTAAGTTTGACCAAGTTCGTCCTTATGACTATCCCTACCTATGCTATGCAAACAATAGCCTTACCAAATACCTTATGTGATCAGATTGCCTTATCAGTTGGGAGGACATGTGCATGCTTTGTGACGCTGGAGAAAGCGACCTTCGGTTTATCCGTAAGCAAAACCAAGCTTTCTTGATGAAACTAGGCTTTGCTATGGTGGCTAAACCTAACTTCCTTTGGGTCCAAGTTCTCAGCCACAAATACAAATGATATGACTTATCGGGGAGCTATAAACCTATTGGGACGACCTCCCATATTTGGCGTAAACTCAACCATATTTGGATGGACTTTCGGGTGGACATCAAATGGTCCATTGGTTCGGGGTAAAATGTTAGGTTTTGGGAAAACTGCTGGTTAGAGGACATGGGGCTGTTTAAGCTTTTTGCCTTCACGCCTATTGAGGAATAGAACATCCATAAAAGTGTTAGGGATTACGTAGCGTCGTTTGGATAATGGGATTGGGAGGCCCTATACCAGGTGTTGCCGATGGATATATTGCTCCAGTTGGCAGCCATGCCGATTCCTAACGAGGACAATATTCTAGATTCATGCTATTGGGGTATGACGAGCTCTTGATGTTTCTCAGTTAGCTCGGCTTACGCCCTCTTTGAGAGCGACCATTAGCATTCGATGGATAGAAATTGGAGAGATATTTGGCGTTGGCCAAGTGCTCAGCATGTAACGACCCTAGAAAAGTCCAATAAAAATAATTAATAATTAAAGTGCAGAAGAAAAATAAATATTCAAGGTGTTCATTCCTTACACAATAACTTAAAGTTCCAATTAATGTTACGGAATTCACAATTTTGAAAGAAATAAAAAGTAATAAGAAAATAAACGGAAAATAAAGAAAATTTGCATTCTACTAGCAATCCTCTTGATAATCAGGCTCTGGATCCTGGTTCTCTTATTCTGAAATGGTTAAATAATGGATGAATTACACTAGTCCAGTAAGAATATCACACTATACTACCGACACAAAAATTAAGGTTCGTAGAAAACTAAAACAACTAATGGAGTACTAAATTAAGCAAATTCATTTATCAATAATAAAACTATTTACCGTCCATTTACCGTAGTGAGATTTATAGAAAACAATAACATTATATATATTATGATTCCGTATATAGTTGGCAACACAACACATATTATACTTTCATATTCAAATCATTAAAACAACAACTGTCCCTTTTTCCACTAGCCTGCTGGTATCCATGGGGGTTCATAGGGATGTCCCTGCTACGCGTGAACATTTTCCTTTAACATTCTCAATTACGGATCGTCCCCATACCCTGTCCGGTATGAGCACTAAATTACCAAACCTCAATACCTCATCCGGTATGAGGGTGAAACGGGTCGTGCACATACCCCGTCCGATATGAGCGCCAAATTACCAAGTCTCTATATTCGTCCGCATTTAATCTAAACTGTCCATCACATTTGATCTGGACCGTCCGATCACGATTAAATAGGAAGTGAATTTTGATCGTTCATCGCATCTAATCTGGACCATCTGATCGTGTTTAAATCTGATCGTCCGATTGTGTTTAGAGAGGGAACGCATCCATGTCATTCATGCGTGCGGGAATGGATCTGGACCATTTGATCGTGAGTATGCGGATCGCCCACGTGACCTCCCGCGTGGCACTGTGTCAGCGTCCACTGCCATGCAGCGCACTCTTGATTCGTCGGGACTGCTGACCGGACATCCTACGTGGTAAAACTTCTCTAAATTATATTTTAACTTCCGATTTTCGATTTTTCTTTTAAAAACACCCCCAGAACCAAAATTTTCACTCCTTTTCTTCAAAATTATTTTCAATTTAATTATCCATCAATTTTACTTATTTTTACTATAAATTAAAATTAAAAAATTAAAAAATTAAGAAATTATATTTATAAAAAAATATTAAATTACATTAAAAATTAATTTAGGGTATTACACAATGGGTACGTACTTTTCTTTGGCTAGCTGCAAAGGGGAAGTTGTTAACAAATTGGGAGCGTTACTAACGTCACATGACCTGTAACGACCTCGAGAATTTCAAATGAAATAAATTATAAATTTAGTACATAAGCGAAATAAATAGTTAGGTTTACATTTTTTACACAATAATTGAAAGTATCTAATAGGACTTATAGGAATAACCCTTCTAAAAGAACAATTAATAACCAAAGAAATAAATTAAAAGTAAACAACTGAACGTTCTACTCGTAATTCTCTTGTGGATCAGGTTCTAAATTCTGCTTCTCTTGATTTGAAATGGTTAATGAAAGAATGAACTACACTAGCCCAGTAAGAATATCACACTACTTACCAACACAGAAATAAAGGTTGGTATAAATCATAAAAACAACTAATAGAGCTCTTAATTAAGCAAAATCGTTTATCATAAATAAAATCATTTACCGCCTACTTACTGTAGCGAGATTCAAAAAATAACTTATAGAGACAATAACATAGCACATATTATAATTTCATATGCAATCGGTTGGAACAACAATTTCTTCTTTTATCAGTATACTGGTATCCATTGGGGTCCATAGGGATGTCCCTGCAACGCATGAACCATTTTCTTTGACATTTCCAATTAATGGGCTGTCCTCATACCCCGTTCAGTATGGGCGCCAAATTACTAAATCTCGATACTCTGTCCGCTATGAGGATGAAATAGACTGTTCTCATACCCCGTCCGGTATGAGCGTCAAATTACCATACCTCAATACCTCGTCCGGTATGAGGCAACATTCATGGTAGGGTTCTCTATGTACCCGGTCCGTATATCATCTCCCAAGATATCTAGTAAGGCTGTTGTTTCATCCATTCACTTAATCAAACAGTTTTCTGACTTCCTTTAGTTTCAAGCTTCTCAATTCAACTATAATCACATGAAACAAATAATACATACATTCAAACTATAAGATCAATTAATTAGGTATTATCATGCATTCAAACTGTAAAATAAATTAACAGAATCAACAATGAATAATTTTCATTTCTAGCTCCATTAATGACTAGTAATTAATCATGGATATTTTTTAAACTGCCTAAAAT